GTAGGCATTCATCTTCGTGTTTTTCGTATCACTCAGTATATTCATCAGTACCTTCTTTTGGTTTCCATGACATGCAACCCTTACATATTGAACTTTTAATAACAAGATCGATTACTTTTCCGGTTAAATTATCAATTAGAGTTACAACGCCTAACAGCGACGTAAAACCTCTTTTCTTCCACGATCCATCCCCAGACACATAAAATTTTGATTTTGGTCTTCCATTTTCTTCATTTAATTTTTTTTCTTCATCAACTGCTTTCAGACATGTAGCATCAAAGACAAACTTTACTGCATCATACAGGTGTTTCACAATTTTCTCGTACGCACTGTTACTCAAACCTGTACCGAGATCCATAAGTCCAGCAAAAATATTGATGCCTTCTTGTCCGATGCCTAAAAGTCTCATAACAAAAACTATTCTTCTGTTAATTTCATAAGGGAAGACAGATAAAATTTCTACCAACGGACTTTTCGAACACAGGTATAAACACGCTCCGAGAACGCAGGTATAAACGCGACCGCCCGAGGGTCGCTAGGCCCGTCTGAACTCGTCACCCGACCCGTCCGCTTTAACTTCGTAACTTCGTAAATACTGCAGATATCGACTTGAAATTTTCAGGGAATATTCTTAAATAGTTTAACAATCGATTAAGACTATTTCCAAAATATCGATTTTTTTGACCCGATAAAGGAGGTTTCCCCCTTAAAAATAAATATTATAATAAATATGGATACGATAAAGAGGAATACGATAAAAGCGAATATTATAAATGGAAATATGATAAAAGCAAATACAATAAAGGCTATTCGGTTTTTAACAGCTTTTTTTTTATTGAACCGGATGCCGGATCTGCTCAGCGCAGGACACGGTGCAGTGTGAGAAAGATGCTTGAGGCATAATGCACGCACACAAACAAAATAAAGAAACAAAAAGACGGGTTCTTCAATACGACGCGAACAGCTTTATTTGAGTATGCTGTCTGCACGCGTCGAGAGCAGCCAAAGTATCGGACGGAGATCTTACTCTACACCATAGGGAAGTCACGTTTCCATACTTGAAATCTTGAGCGATTTTTGCGAACCAACAAAGTTCTCTCTAACGGTACCGATGGCAATCGCTCTAGAATTTTCGCTGCAATAGATATGGGAAGTCCCGTTAATCTAATTAAGAAATCGGTTTACAAGAGTTTCTGCGGTTACGATTAATTGTTGTTAGTAAGAGAGAACTTACAATTAAAAGGAGTTAATCAGTCGGTAATTTCGGTGTATGGTAAAATTTGTGAGCAAGTTATATTAGATAAAGTAAAGGATTGTTGATTCGATATTACATTATTGGTTGTTGATGACGTTACAATATTTATATTTATGAGTTACAATATTTTATTAGGTCGTGAGTTTTTTAACGAAACCGGTTTAAAACTTATATATCACAATGGTTAGTACGATTTCGAGTACAAAAGAAATTCGCTTGGGATTTGGTCCGACATTCTACCTGTAAATGCAACGGTTGAAAAAGATAAATTCGGATTTGTTTGTGGAAAATTGCGATGAAATTTTAAGCTATAAAGAGAGATTGCGGTTAGTCGGAACTCTATGAGAAGTCGATGTTTTAGACATATCGCCAGTTCAAGACAGATACGTTTAGATTTCATCTAAAGGACAATTCTTTATTTAGATACGCACCGAGGCGAATATCTGTAAGCGAGAAACAAGAGTTGCAAGATATTACGGACGATATATTAAATAGAGACATTATAAATAGTATTTCTCCCTATTATGCGAGAGTTGTATTAGTATAAAAAAAATGGAACAAAACGTATGTGCGTCGATTTAAGATCAACGAATATATCAACAAAAATTTCCGTCCCCGATTATTGAAAATGTGATAGATCAACTTCACGGCAAATGTGTTTTTACAAAATTATATTTGCGTGATGAGTTTCATCAGATTGATATACATCCGGACGATACGAAATATTTTGCATTCGCAACGCCCAGTATGACAACGCTCAATATGAGTTCATTAAGATGCCTTTCGGTTATTCAGAAGTGCCGGCCGAATTTCAAAAAAGATTATTGTTTATCTTTAAAGACTTAATGCGACAAGGTAAAATGCTTATGTATATAGATGATATATTGATACCGACGGTTACTGTTGAGGAAAATTTAGAATATTTACGAGAGGTTTTGATCTTACTTAAAAGATATGGTCTGGAATTAAATTTAGCTAAATGTTCTTTTTTGAGAAGAGAAATCGAATTCTTGGGATATTTAATATCAGCTAAAAGGATTATTATGAATAATCGTCATGTTCAAGCTATACTGGATTTTCCTCAGCCGAAAAATGTAAAGAAGGTGCAAAGTTTTCTCGGATTAACAAATTATTTCCGTAAATTTATACAAGACTATGCATTAAAAACGAGACCGTTTCAAATGCTGTTGCGAAAGGATACTGTATTTAATTTCAATGAAAGTTGTGTAGACGCTTTTAGATCATTGCAAGAAGAATTATCTACACCACCAGTGTTATGCATTTACAATCCCGCGGCGGAAATTTCATATCGACGCGAGTAGTCACGGGTTTGATGCTATTCTTTTATAAAAACAAAAAAGCAGAAATATATTACCAATAGCTTATTTTAATAAGGCTACCTCTGACAACGAAAAGAATTACCATAGTTATAAGTTAGAGACACTAGCGATTGTAAAGGCGATTGAACGGTTTCACGTCTATTTGCAGAGTATCAATTTTCGTATTGTAACTGGTTGTAACTCGCTAGTAATGGCGATGAAAAAAGTTAATAGTAATCCGATTGTCAGATGGTCTTTAGCTTTGCAAAACTATAAGTTTGAATTAGTACATAGAGCATCGGAGAAAATGACACATGTGGATTGTTTGAGCCGTAGTATTTTGAATGTTGAGACTATTTCGATCGAAGATTAACTTTTATATAAACAGTTATCGGACCAAAAACTCAAAGAAATAGCTGAAGATATTAAACATAAGAGTAATAAAGATTTTGAACTCATAGATGGGTTACTTTTAGGCATAAAGACCAAAGTTTATTTGTCCCGGAAAGCATGGTGAATGATATAATTCGAATTAATCGTGATAACATGGGACATGTGGGATTTGATAAAACCATTTATAATATACTGAGTCATTATTGGTTTCCCTGTATGAAGGTAAAGTAAGACAATATATTGATAATTGCATTAAGTGTTTAACTTTTTCTATGATCTTGGGTAAAAAAGAAGGGGAAATGGAACTAGTAGAGAAAATAACCGCTCCGTTCCATATATTACACTTAGATCATTTCGGTCCGTCGGAAGTTAGTAGTGACAATTATAAATATATATTGGTCGTTGTCGATGCGTATACACGGTTTGTATGGCTTTTTCCAGCGAAAACCACAAACACAGCCAAAGTCATCGAATGTTTATTTGTTTGATTTATTTGGGTGCCCGCAACGCGTGATTAGCGACAGAGGTACAGCGTTTACCTCTCAAGTCTTCGCACAGTTTGTAAAAGAAAGAGAAATTCAGCATGTTTTGGTAGCGGTAGCTTCGCCGTGGGCAAATGGTACGGTAGAACGCGTTAATCGATTTTTAAAGTCCACATTAACTAAAATTACGGAAGATGCGTCTAAGTGGAAAGAAATTTTCACTTAGGTACCGTACAGTATGTTATTAATAATACACTAAATAAAGCGATTAATTCCATTCCTAGTAAATTGTTGTTAGGATACGATCAGCGTCAATAAGAAGACGAAAATTTACGAATGCTTTTAAATCAGATGCGTGATATTGATTATTTATGTGAAAGCGAGCGTACTAAAACTCAAGACATAGCGAATATAGTCAATCGTAAGCTTCAAGCATATAATAAGGCCTATTATAACAAAAAGCATAAAAATGTACTATTTATAAAAAGGGGAATCTTGTGCTAGTTAGGGTGTTGCATCATAAACTAGGTATTAATAAAAAATTAGTACCAAAATTTAAGGGTCCTTACAGAATAAAAGCAGTTCTAAAAAAGAATAGATATGTGGTCACTGATATTCCTGGTTACAACATATCAGCAAACCCGTATAATGCTATTCTATCAGCAGATAAAATTAAACTATGGATATCTATAGGGGATAAAAATACAATTAATGATAATGATTCGTGAGAGCTAGAAGCTAACGATGAGGTAAGGGATTAAGGAAGAATGCAAGTGAATGTTTTATTAATAGTTAAGTAATTAAAAAAAAAAATTGTGTTTATTCGATTTTAGTAATTAATTAGATTGGTTAAAATATGAAAAATTTATAAAGTGGCTAATAGTGTGGGAAAAAATTATATACCAGTTCGAGGACGAACTTTATATTCAGGATGGCCGAAACTGTAAGCTTCTTTGTTTGGCTTGTTTGGCTTCTTTGTTAAGCAATGTGAAAAATAGAGCGTTGTTATCTCTGAT